TCACATTGTTCGATTTTATGAAATTTTGAAATAATGTACTACATGTAAATATGTAACTAAGTTATTGATGAATAAATGATTGTTTTAAAAATCAAAATCTTCTTCTTCTTCTTCTTCTTCTTCTTCTTCTTCTTCGAGTGGTTTTGTGAATTGGTGACTTGATTAACACGAAATTTCGTCGTTGGAAAACTGCAGACGAGCTCGCATCAATGGTACCAATACACTCCTATCGTATTCTCAAACAAAAAATTGATTCTCTACACAAAGGAATTGTATCCAGTCTCCCGGACCTACCCTTTATAGAGTACTTTCACGAAGAAACTGATGAACCACCGCCACCAGACACCTCCAGGTACGCGTACACACTTCACATCAAATCTGACAATGACGATACCATTGTTGAGCACTCAGTCTGTCTATACAAATTCAAAAAGAAGGTTATATACGAACTTGTAATCAAATCACTTATTTTTTATAACAAGACTATAGACACTGTATGGAGAGACATTTTAAGTATCCCACCCGAAACTATGCCCAATTTCAAATGTATTTATGATTTTCCAGTTCCCAAAAAAGAAGGTGACTTACAATGGCGGTTTCTGAAAGGCGCCATTTCTACGGGCACATTCATGCAAGTTTCGGGTTACACTGACAATGGTTCAAATGAATGCCCCTTCTGTAAAAACGCACCTGACGATTTATTGCACATGTTCCTAGAATGTCCACGTCTTACTCAGCTACTTAGAACTATATTTAAATTAGCTAAAAACATAGCATGTCTAGATCAACTTCCTCTCACGTGGTATGTGTTGGGTCCACCTTACATGAAAGGAAGAAAGTCAGATTTCCAGTTAATTAATTACCTCTTTACCACAGCAAAAATAGTCACCCATACCACTCACTTTGATAAATTTAAGAATGGATGCAACAGTAATATACTCGATGTTTTTCACGGTAGAATCAAGAGACGTGTCCTAATTGAATACCAATATGCAAAATTGTGCAATAAGTTAGCTCATTTTGATACATTTTGGGGTAAAAATGAAACTCTATGTAAAGTAGTTGACAATGCATTAGTTTTTACGATATAAACAGCCGGCTCTGTTTAAGCTTTACTCATTTTCTATATGTGAAAATTGCAACTTTTTATACACACTATTTAACATTTTTAACTACTTGTAACGCATGCTGATATTTTCCTGGAATAAACGTTACCTGTTAAAATCAAATCTTCTTCTTCTTCTTCTTCTTCTTCTTCTTCTTCTTCTTCTTCTTCTTCTTCTTCTTCTTCTTCTTCTTCTTATTATTATTATTATTATTATTATTATTTCCTTTGTAGTTATCGTGTAACATCCTGTAGAGCGGGGGCCATTCCATGGACATTGGGCGCTAGAAGGAAAATGTTATGTTGATAGTATTCTTCTTAGTATGTGGGCCGTTTCAAGGAAGCAGATCTTTTAGGGTTCCAAGATGTTATTATCCCCAGGAATTTTGCTGGTGTATATTTCCAGGCCATCTTTATGAGTCCTAGTGGCCTGATCACTACTGCCACTGTTCTAGTTGTCATTCCCCACATTTTGTTGATTTCAATATCAAGATCTTTTTACTTTGACAACTTTTCAGCCAGTTTCACTGAGGTATTTCTATCTGATGGTACTGCCATGTCAATGAGGATGCATGTTTTACGTTTCTTTTGTTTGAAAACTATGTATGGTCTGTTGGCACTTATTTCTTTATCTGTTCGTATTGGCATATCCCACAGGATAGTTACTTCCTCGCTCTCATTTACTGTATCTGGTTGGTGTTCATACCACTTGTCCACTGTCTTGAACTTGAATGAATGTCTGCAGATCTTTCAGTGCACGTATGCAACTGCCCTGTTTTTTAATGTATTCTGTTTTTTGCAAATTCAGGAGAGTCGGATACAATATGATCGATGCTCTCCTCATATTTGCCACATATTCTGCACTGGAGGCCTGTGGTTACCTTCTCTTCTTTAGTACTATATCCTGCACACGGTGCTTAGTTTTTTCGTTACTCTCTTTGAATATTTTGCATAATTCCTCATTTTTATTTTGATGGATTTCATTGGTCATCCCAGCTCCAGTTTGTATTTTCTTTCTTCTTTTGAGGTCAAGTAGATTTTCTTTTTTCTCGTGTTGTTTTACCAGCTGTTAGGTATGTGTCCAGACCGATGGTGGTTGTTTTGAAGTACATTTCCAGCTGGATCATGCCTCTTCCTTTTGCTGTTCTGTAAAGGTGGTCCACATCAGATTTTGGGTAGGGCATTCTTTCTATAGTGAGGAACTTGCGTGATTTGGTATGTAATTTCTTGATCTCACTTAGTTTCCAGTTAATAATGTTAATAAAGCTGTAGGTTACAACTGGTATGGCTAGGGTGTTAAATCTGTTGGTAGCATTGAGTTCACTCCTTAAAATATCCTAATCCGTCTATAATATTCTCTCCTGATTTTTTCCTGAGTATTGTATTCATCACCTTCATTGATTCCTATATACTTGTAGTTCCATCCTGCTCCAGATCTTTTATTGTTGTGTCAGTGTCAATAGTTATTTTTGGATCAATCTCGTTTGAAAATAGCTTTGGCACACTTTCCTAGACCGAACTCTAACATGATGTCATCACTGAAAGTCTTAACCATGTGCAGGAGCCCAGTTTGTTGATTGTTGTCTTTAGCAAATGTTTTGAGGTCATCCATGTAAAATAGCTGGTTAATTTTACCTTTCTGGGAGTCATATATACATGTGCTGTTGTTGAGAATTGAACTGAGGGGAGCAAGGGCAAGGCAGAGGAGTAGGGGTGATAATGAGTCTCCTTGGAATATTCCGCTTTTGATGTTTACTGAACGTGATTCCAGTGATACTTCAGCATGATTCAAGTGTAAGGTGGTTTCCATGTCTTCATGCTCGCAGAGATGAACTTTGTAATGGTAGGGCATATTCTGTACATTTCAAGTTTCTTAGTGATCCAGCTGTGGAGCAGGCTGTCAATTTTTTTTGTAGTCAATTCATGCTGTTGATATATACTTTCTTTTTTTTGCGTCCTCCAAGACTATTTTGTTGAAGAGTAGTTGGTTCTTACAACCATAGCTCCCTATTCTACATTCTTTCTGCTCTGCCGATAATAATTATTATTATTATCTCTAAATAATAATTATTAATTCTTTCAAGGTAGCTTTTCCAATTATAATGTATATATTTTGTACGTATACATTATTTCACATAATTGAATAAATATTTTATTTTACATTTAGTACATTTAATGCAATGTTTTTTTATTTTATTTTAAATCTAATATTTTGATAAGTAAACCCCATTTCACCAGTGAGTTATCGCAGGCCACACTATTCATATAGAAGTCATTGAATACATAAATAAATTAGTAAATTGTTCTAGTACTATAAGGTTATTACGAGGATACATCAAAGTATGCACGAAGACAGTACAGCGGCAGTATCGACCGACACGCAGCGGAGGTCGATGCGACAGCATACTCTCTTAGTGCATACTTTGAGGTACCTTCGTAATGACCTTATTATTATACATCTTTTCTTATATAATGGATATATAATGGGAATGCCGAAATCTAAAAAGTTTAGAATAGAATCAGCGAACTTTGTATTTAGTCCGGTCAAACCCTGGTAGCAGCCATGTTTGTTTCATTATAAGAGGACGCTTACGCGCGTAATCATTCCATATTTGGAATTCGCATTTCCTAATATGGTAGGATGAAAATAGCCCGTAAAATACCGCAAAATTACGGCACGCTGTAACGTATGGCGTCATGGTGACAAGTGTATAAGAACATGTATTATATTATAGCATTATCAATAACAGTGGATTTTATGACGTCATTGCAGCAGATTATTCGCGATAATGTATTACATTATTGAGCATCAAGGCCCTGTCCCATGGATATGAATACAATGTTGATTTCGAAAACGAATAAAGAAGAAACTATTGAAAAAGACGAAATATTGTTAGATAACAAGTATTTAATACCACAATCGACATCAAATAAAACGGTCCATAACCAATAACAGCGGATTTCAATATCGAAATCGGACAATATTTTGAAGGCATCGTTGTCTGCTCTGTACGCCAACGCGCGTTCGGTCGAAGCGTTCCATCTAGTACGCGCGCTTCTAGATTCCGCGACCGATGCTGCTGTCCTGGTGGCCTCCTGATTAGTTCGCCTTATCGTGTTGTTGAAGTGAGGCTAACCGAGGATAATTTATCCAAGCAAATGCGATAAACGAAATGGGGGTACAATGGATGTCTACGAGTACAGAGAGATGAATTTGTTCTGTTTTTGTACTACAAAATTGCGAAACGAGATC